TTCAGAAAGCTTTAATATTTGAATTTTATATGGTTGGAAAGCTCTTTAAGTCCACTTTTTAATGCATTAAACAAAATCAAAATCCAAATTTTCAAAGAAGAGATTTTAAATTTTTACTGGATACTTTACAGTTGTCTAAAAATTGCACAAGAGGTAGTTTTGAAAATTCACTATAATTCATACACAATGAATTAGGTGATGAATTTTATATGCATAGAAAGCCCTTTATGTATAGTTTCTAAATCTTTAAATATTTTGTGATTTGGATTTGTATAACTCAACATATAATCAAATGAGTGAGTAAAGTACAAAACAAGAGACATTCACCTAGATGGATAGGATCGATCCCTTCAGGGAATGGATCGATTTTTTTTCTACCCATAACAGAATTTTAGCTCCAGGATTACAAAAGGGATCGATTACCTTATGAAGAGGATCAATCACCCCCTTGAACTAATTGATCCCCTCAATGAAGGGATTGATCGGGTTGTACATTTTCAAGCCAAGAACTGGTTTTAAAACTTGAACCAATTAATCCCCTCAAGGAATGGATCGATCGGGTAGGCTTTTTCAAGCCATGAATTGATTTTAAAACATGAACCGATCGATCCCTCAAATGGTTACTTTTTCATGCTACCAACGAGCATTTCTTCTTCCCAAGCTTCTCCAACGGCTAGTTCTTCAAGTTTTTTATATGTTGGCCACTCTAATATACCAAGAAGATTGATGAATCAAGAGAGCAAGATCTAACAAGCTATATTTTTATTCTTTTAAAGAATCAAGAGTTGTTAGAGCTTAAAATCTATATTTTTGTATCTATTGTATCCAAGCTATATTGTTGTTCATTCATCAAAGTTTTTTGTACTTACATTAGGCAAACACTTAAACTTTAAAAGGTATTCTAAGTTTGTATTTTTATTAAGTGATTTTGTAATCAAAAGGTAATGCATCCTCTTGAATTTGTGGGATTGTAAAATTGCTACTTAACCTAAAAAGTAAAAAGTGTAAGGTTTCAATCTTAAGCCTTAGAGAAAAAAAGATAGGATTGTATTTTTAATTCAAGATTAATAATTACAAATAGTTGATTATTTAAGAAATTTTTAGATGAGAAGACATTTCTAATTTAACCAAGATGGTGAAATAGTTAGATATATTTTCAACTAAAAATAAAAAATAATGATTAAACATTTTTTCGACGACGAAGCCTCTTCAAGAAAATAAATGAGATTTTTTAATACTCTTAAGGTAAGAAAATATTTTAAAAAATTATACTAGCTTGATGGAGAATTTTAAAAGTTATTTCCAAATATTTAACATTAAAATTTATGACCATTAAAATTACGACCTTTGGATAATTTAAAATAAAATGGTACCATCATTTGAATGGGCATATGAGAGTATTATAATATTTCTCATATATAATTGAACTCCTAAATTTTGTTTTGATTAATAGATCAGAACCTATTTTTTAGGGACCCTTAATCTAGCTTAAGAGCTTCTTAAAAAGATAGATTCATTAGATGGCCAATCACATCTAAGAAAAAGATTAGTGATGACTCTTCTTGTTAAATCTAACTATAAATTTTCGGATCTATATGTTATGACACCATGTACCATCATTTAACTACTCCTTAGTAACTTTTATCACAAGAAAAACGTTTTTTCAATCTTCACATCATAAAATCATGCTTGGACTTTTAGAACTTGGGAGAGAGTTTTGATTTAATGAATTCATCACAAAATAACTGACAAACTGATGAATGGAAAAAAGCTTGAACTTGGAATGCTCAAGTCGCCTATATGTTTTTTCCTTGTTAAAAGAGTGAATTTGCCTTATAGATTTGGCCGGAGAATCACCTGTCAAGCTGTGATTGTATCTGGCAACATGCTTAATCTAGAGTAACCTCCATGGAAAATTGCCAGTGATAAGAACAACGGATTTCATTATCCTTGACATAAAAATTAAAAAAAAAAAAAAAGAACAGCAATGAAGAGAAAAAAATTATAGTGTACTGCTACTTAAAATACCACCCTCTAAAAGTCGATTCATTCATCTTTGTTCTTGCAGTTGATGCTTCCTACATATCAACTCCTCTTCTGGTCTTGTTCAAGATAGTTATATTTTTCAACTGTAACAGTTACTCAACCCCTCAATCTACAAGCTGACTGGCAGGATTGTCCATAGGGTAGTAAACGCGATAACTCGGTGGAAGAGTGATGCCACATGTAGCACAAATACCTTTAACTTGATTACCAAACTCAGGAGTGAATCTTCCACGGGTAAAAATCCAAATCTTGCACTTGTGAGACAGACCCTGAATTGCTTCACAGCATTCACAACCGAGGTTTATCTTCTTTTCAACCAAGGACGTGTAAATTTCATGCTGGCAACACCTTATTAATTTGTTCCCAACAGAGCCTTGGGTTTGGCATGTATCTTTCATACCATCTAACAACTGAGAAAGCAGGAGTGATAGCTATGGCAAATGCCAGCGCTAGTAAGAGCACAAGTATCTGTTGGAAAGAACACATTGCAAACAGACGGAGACAGGTTGGTTTGGCTTGGTTTCTTGGAACAAGGAAGGGTTTGTAGCATGGGTTGTGTTGGAAATTTATACAAGTTCTTAATTAAGGACCTTGGAGTAACGGTGGCATGTTACAAAATTTGTCAGGTTCCAGTAATGAGTTCAGGTAAAGGGACTTTCGTATTTGTTGCAGTTCCCCATTGAAATTGCCGTTATGCAAGAGAATGTTGATCATTTAAATGCCATTATGTAACGTATAAAAACCCCATGATTTTAGCATGAAAGACCTTTTATTTTTTATTTTTTGAAGAAACCATGAAAGACTTTAATATCTCGTGTTGCTGGGCTGCAAATGGGGCGAGCTACTTCAAAGTAGCAAAAAGACTGAGGGCGCCCAGAATCGTTTTGGGCTCTATCTCTTTTCAGTAAAGGGGACAAGTACCAGAGAAGGACCGCAAAATCAATAGTGGGATATTTTTTCTTATATTTAACTGCTTTATATAACACTAGCATAAGTTATTGAAGAGACTATTTTTGTTCTGTTTCTGATTGTAAATGAGCTCAATTAATTCTCTTCGGCCAGAACTCTTTTTTTCGTTTCATAGTTTGACTTGTGATCTTAAGGATGAATGCTCCACAAAAGTGTAAATTGAAGTCTTGTGCAAAAAGCAGAGAATACCTTTTGTTGCCTATTGTTAATAACCTGTACGACTGTGTTTCCAAGTTTCTTGGCTCATTTTAGTTTCACATGTTGCAGCCTTCCACATCTGAAAACAGTAATTCAGTTACTTGAAAATATGGAAAGCTGGCAGCTTAGTTCTGTCTCAAGCACATCTCTCACAAGGGATATGGCTTCTCTCTCTCTCTTGGACATGCCAATGCTTGTGTCTGTGTACGTATATACACATGTTTACATAAAATGTATTCATTATGAAGCCCACAAAAGAACCTCACTCCAGGCCGGAATCTCATGTCAGTTAGAGCTGTTTGTGTTCGACCAATAATTAGTAATTACTTGTGAAATGCTTTCTTTCTTTTTCCTCTTTTGAAACAAAGAGTCGTTGACCACCGCAAAAGCAATCTCTGATGCTTCTTTCATTCATACTTTGGATCTTGGCTGTATTTTGTAACTTCACACTCAAACGTCAAGAAATGCTGATTGTTTGTGGTATAGTTTTACTGTTACAGCTTTAAATACATGCAATTAAAACGTGGTTGGGGTTTAATTCATTTTACTCTTCCAAAAATTGAGAAAAACACCCTATCAATTTTTGATAATGAGAAAGTGATTTTGTTGAAAGCGCTGCCCCTGAGCCACCATGCCACACTGACAAAAGGGACCAGATAGAGGATAAGGTCTTCTGTGTCATCCACTTGCCTAACCAGCTGGAAAACAAAAGATGATTTCCCACCTTGATAATGAAATGAAAAATTAGGAAAGAGAGAAAGAAAGAAACCAATAACCAGGGATAGGGTTGCCAACTTTCCGGGTTATCCTTCATCTGTCATTTTCTGTAATTTTTTTTCATAATTTATCATTCAAGAATTAAGAAAGTAAAATATGAAAGCTTGACGGTGTTTCCGGTAATACAAACGAATTATTGGCAGAAGTTTTTGGACCTGGTCAGGAGAGAATCATGGCGTAAGAAGTGACAAGGAAGAATCAAAGTCAAATTGTTGCCAGTAAAAAGCAAAGTATTCATCACCGACCGGTACGACTACACTATTTTCTACGTTTTTGAGGCCCGATAAAAGGCTGGACTGTCCTATCAGCCTCATTCTGATTTACTTTTTTTTTTTTGTAAGTTTCTGATTTACTTTGACTCCCAAGGCTTAGAATTTTCAATGGAATGAGGCTGATGGGACAGTCCAGCCTTTTATCGGGCCTCAAAAAAACGTTTTAAATATTAATAAAATAACAATGTTTAAATGGGATTTTAAAATTCTAAGTTTTTGGCGTCAAAGCTCGTGAAACACGTTTATTCTGATTTTACTTTGACTCCCAAAACTTAGAATTCGGAAATCCCATTTAAACATAATTATTTTATTAATATTTAATTTTCTTTTAAACTATTTGATACCTATATATTTACAAAATTACCATATATAATTTACACTTTTTAAACCATAATATAATACATAAGTATATAAATTCCTTTTCCCCCCTTTTTTAATCTCAATTTTGTTCATTTTTTTAATTAAAAATTTTCTAAATAAAACAAACCCTCGAGTTATGAAAAAAAATGTCTAGATTCATCACTTGGTAATTTTAAAATGACAGAACGTGAAAATAATATAAAAATTTTTTTTAATAAAAACAAATTTATATTTTTTATTTATTGTGTACGTGTGCTTTTTTACTCCCAAATTATCATATCTAAATTTATGTGAGAGAAATAAAGCTAAGTCCTAAACGGCGTCGTTGAGATTACCATATGTGCGCCACCTTAGCATAAAAAAAATATAAAAGGCGTGTACGTTGGGTAGCGTGGGAATCCAAATGTGGTGAAGGGACAGAAAAAGAGGAAGAGAGCCACGACGCTAACTCGTTAATCGATAAAATTGCCAACCCCTCCTTCACCGCTTCAACCGCTCCTTCGCCGCCGCGTAAAGTTTTAAACCGCCGGAGAGCCCAACCCTAACTGCAAAAAGATATTAACAAATTAAGGAATGGCTGCGTTGGCGATTCCTTCGCCTTCTAAATCGTCGTCGTTTTGGTCGTCCTCGTCGTCTTCTCTCTTCTCTCGTTGCTGTCTAAGCCACAAAAGCGTTGGTTTCAATGAGTCTCGCTCTCGTATCTGCGGTTCTAACACCTTCGTAAGCTATATTTAATTTAAAAAAAAAAGATTAATTTACAATTTTTTTGGATGTCTTCAAGGTTCTGAAGTGAGATTTATTTTTAATTTTTGGTTTTTTCGATGGTTGTCCTTTTTTTAATTTTTCTTATTTTATAATTCGGTGTCTGTGTCTATTGGAATTGAATATTTGAATATTTATTAGTATTATTTTTATGCAATAATGTGCTGCACGTGTGGGTGTATGATGAAATCGACAGTACAACGTTTTTCTTTTTAATTTTTTTTTCTGTGAAACATTTTGGCTAAAGGGAAAATCTTTCAATAAAAAGGCAAAATTTTGGGTAACTGGAAAAGAAAAAGTTCTATAAATTGTCTTCTTTTTTGAGTGATGTTCAAGTTATAATGATATGGGTGCTTGCTCTTTTTTTTTTTCTTTTTTTGAATACTAGAAATGTGACCTGCCTCAACCAGTGAATTATGGAAATGGGAAGCCAACGATTCCTATCCTTAATGAAAGGACACTGCCCAAGTTCTTGGAATCAGCTCGAATGGAGACAACTGTTAACAGAAACGCTGCCAGGCTTAAAGTGTTTTCTGGCACAGCCAATCCTGCACTTTCTCAGGTTGTGGCATTACCATTTTGTTTATTGTGTTGCCTTCTATGGAATTCTTTTTGCAGGTGTTACTTTCGATAAGCATATGGAAATGATAAGATTAATAAGATGTAGACCTTAACGGACTGTTGCCAATGTAACTGTTGGGTGATAGACTGAAAGTGTGAAAGGTGTTTGTAAAACTGCCTCAATTCTAGAGTGTGAAAGATATACTTTTTGACTATTTGATATAAGTTCATGTGCAAAATATGATTTGCACCAAACCAAAAACTTTCCTGGAAATGAGAAAAATTGCTCGACTTAGTTGAGTGGATAAAGTTTTGTATATCATCTCTTATAATCCATTGTAGCTTGAACCATACAATATGCTGCTCATATTATGCCTGCTTGAATGGCATTCCCGCAGTTTGTCCTATGAAAATGGATCTGTATTGATATTTGTAGTTTTCCAAGTTCTTTTCAGCGCACATTATGCCTTACTTGCCTTTCTTGGTTGAAGCATTAGAATTACACTTCTTCTCTGAACTTGAGGTATTATACTTTCTTATTTCGTGGAACTTGTGTTTGCTTGCTCATTTATTTATTGCAGGAAATTGCTTGGTACATGGGCCTGGAGCTGGGAAAGATCAACATAAAGCGATTTGCTGATGGAGAAATTTATGTTCAGCTGCAAGACAGTGTTAGAGGATGTGATGTATATTTAGTCCAACCAACATGCCCTCCTGCAAATGAGAATCTCATGGAGCTTCTCATAATGATAGATGCTTGTCGGAGAGCGTCAGCCAAAAATATCACTGCAGTGATTCCATATTTTGGTTATGCCAGAGCTGATAGAAAGGCAAGTTTAAATGCTATGTATTTGGCAGTAGTTATTCCAATAAGGCATGAACTTCTGAAGCTTTTGCATCATGTTGTGTTCTTTATAGGATACTAAACTATCTTCTCTATGTCTGTAATCTTATTTTCAGACTCAAGGGCGTGAATCGATTGCAGCCAAACTTGTTGCGAATCTTATCACAGAAGCTGGTGCAAACCGTGTTCTAGCTTGTGACCTTCATTCTGGGCAGTCCATGGGTTACTTTGATATTCCAGTGGACCATGTATACTGCCAGGTATTCAGTCATCAAACTTCAAACATATAATTGTTGACTGTCAATGACTAAGTGATTACTAATACTTTTATATTTTTTGTGCTGTGGACTTTAGCCTGTGATTCTTGATTATCTTGCCAGCAAGAGAATTTGTTCTGATGACTTGGTAGTGGTTTCACCGGATGTTGGTGGAGTAGCAAGGGCACGTGCTTTTGCCAAAAAATTGTCAGATGCACCTTTAGCCATTGTGGATAAAAGGCGTCATGGACACAATGTTGCGGAGGTAATGTTTTCTCCACAACTCTGCTGTCATTATCTTTCTTCCACACTGATTGTGCTATTATATATACTGTTATTCCAAGGTTTTTGAGACGCATATAAGAGGTTCAGACAGTATGTTACATTTGGCAAAGGGACAAATAGTTAGAAGAATGTTGCACGTTTTTCCCGTATTGAGTTGACATTGTGGTCTACTGAAAGTGTTTCAATAATTGCTAAGTTAATATCAAGAGGTTTTAGACTTGGCAGTGTCCTGTGTCTGCAGCCAATAAGTCTTTCAAATCCTTAATTTGTGTTATATTTCTGGCTTTAGTTCCATGGTTATTACATTATTAATGTCTCAAATTTCATACCTAATGCAGGTAATGAACCTTATTGGCGACGTAAAAGGAAAAGTTGCAGTTATGGTAGACGATATGATCGACACTGCTGGTGAGTGAAAGAATTGTGATGATGGCAAACGTAATTCTTAATCACAAGTACACACATTAATTTTGCTTACCTTGATACATTTAATGGTTAAATAATGGCAAAAAACTCTTGTCAATTACAATTACATCCTTTTTCAGTAAAGTTCTGTTCTCATTTTCTCCTGTGAATAATTTTCTTATCTTTTGGAAAAAGAATTTTCATCACGATTTTCCTTTGCTGCCTTGAAAATGGTCCTTTCATAGGCTTCGTTTTAAATTCAGTCTATGTTTACTAGTGAATTTTCTGTTCCTAGGAACGATTGCGAAAGGGGCAGCACTTTTACACCAAGAGGGGGCGAGGGAAGTTTATGCATGCTGTACTCATGCAGTTTTCAGGTTTTAACTTGCTTTTGACTGAACTACGTAAAATCTAATATATAGTGTCATATGTATCAACCTTTTCATTGATATCATGTCCAATTATTGTTCTCTCTTGGCAGCCCTCCTGCAATAGAGAGGTTATCGGGTGGCCTTTTTCAAGAAGTAATCATTACAAATACACTTCCAGTGGCAGAGAAGAATTACTTCCCTCAGTTAACAGTTCTTTCTGTGGCAAACCTGTTGGGTGAAACCATTTGGCGTGTTCATGATGATTGTTCCGTGAGCAGTATTTTTCAATGAAATCAGATGGGAAATCCGAAAGGAGCCTTCTCCTTCAAAATTTTGCATGTGCAACCTAATGCCTTTGGCTCCAGTGGTGAAACTAGATATCGATCAGATAGGAATAGGTCTAGATTCCAATCTGGCTTAGTCCAAGGAGGATGGAGAATCAACACACGGGTCTCATATCTCATTGCTCCTTGCTCTCTGCATCAGCATAATCTAGGTTTTTCGTAGTATTATTTTTTACTTATGGCTAAATTGCCTTCCTTTTTTGTTCTTTTTTAAATGGATACCCTTTTTTGCTCACTCACCAACTTAGCTATCTTATAATTTTGCGAATTACCTCCCATCACTTGGATGTTTTCTACTAAAACATCAACATAACTTGAATCCCAAAACTCACCCATTGCAAGCTGGTTCAAACCTTCAAATACAGGTGTCTGGTGGTGCCGTTCTACAGAATGCTAATTGTTTCCTATTTGGGACAAAATTATCTGACAACATCCAAGATTATTATATCTAAGCTCTCCAATTGTCATTTGGACAACATCCAATATTATATCTAAAGTTTCTTTTCAAGTTTACATGTTTCCATCCTTGTCATGTCTCCATACCTTGGAACAGCATCAGAATCTTGTATAGTGGAGCATCTTCCATGTCTTTTTTATTTTCAGTATTTATAGATCATTGTATACATATAGTTCCTGCAACATTAATCTTGATCTACCATCGGTTTTTTTGCTATGCATATTTGAAGTCAATTCGATTTATTAAATCTTGTTATATAAACTTGGCTTTAGTTGGCACTTGGTCTTAGAATGCGGTATGCTTTTGCCCCAAGTTAACTTAGGTTTGCGCGTAAAGCAAATTCTCAAAATCGACAAATTAATGGCTATAATGGCAAAAGAAAAAAAAAGAAAAGGCTATGCAACAAATTAAGCATATGATTTTCGAATTATTATCTTTGAATTGGCTATCCAACATATTAAATACCTTTATAATATGACTCTAACTCTGGAATAATTGTATTGGAAAAATATTTTCAAATAAATAGAAAGTGGAATTGCATATGTTAATATTTGGCTTGTTGTAGATTGAAATAAATATCTGAATTTATAATTATTTTTAGGACTCATTGCGAGTTTTTTTTTTTTTTATAAGATAATAATGTTATGTTTGGTATATAAGATTATAATAGGATAAAATAATATAATATTATAAATAAGATTATATTAAAAAATATCATTTTATTTTATGTTTGATATATGTAAAGATTAAGATAAAATAATTTATTTATTAGTTAAAATTTTTTTTTTCAAGATTTATAGAATTTAAATTATAATAAAACATATAAATTTTTAAGAATATAATAAAACATATAAATTTAATCTCATGAATTAAAATTAATTTTTTATTTTTTTAAAAAATAAAATTATTCTATTAACATAATATATCTAATCTTTTCAATAATATAATTATTTTATTTAAATACAAAATAAATATGTGATGAATAATTAGTATTCAACTAATCTTATGTGTCAAATGTAACGGATTAGGAACCCTAAAAGCCATAAGTTATTTTTTATTATTATTATTTTTTTATAAAACTAATTGAAATTTCTTATTTGCCGCATTTTTTAAAGGGCTGCTAGGGTTTCTATCTGCAGCTATAAATACTCTTTTCGCTGCGCGGCTTCATCCACTTTTCGTCAACGATATAACGCCGTCTCTCGAAATTTTTCTCGACGAAGAAATGTTTTTCTTTTGTGTCGCAAAAGTAATTGCCGTGATGAACATTATCGTGTACCAGAGGAGTCTCCCGTGACGGTAACACAATCCCTCTAGGAAGTTCTGAGCTTACCCTTTTTCTATTTTTGTTTTAGTATTTTTGAATTTTTTTAAATGGGATTTTCTTTTTTTTTTATATATATAAGAAAAAAATGGGGAGAAGTAAAATTGATGTGATGATAGAAATTCAATGGTCTGTCAATCCACTGATCTAACAGTTTGATGTTACAATGAAGTTCTGACAGGTTCTGATCAGTTTTTATTCCTCCCTATTTTCTGGATTTGCTAGATAAAAATTTATGCTTTGGACTTGTTTTACTTAATTCTGCTCTGGGCATGTGATGAATCTCATTTTTAATGGGTAATTTGCGTCTGAATCAGTCTTTCCTTGATGCTAATTCACCTTGGAGACCTGATGCCCACTTTTTCAGTGTATTCGGAAGCATAATTTTTTTAGCAATTGAACCCCGATCTTATGCTTTGCTCTCTGATTCCTTTTAAGTTATTAATCATGTCTTAGGTACTATCATAGCATAGTGGTAAAGGCATTTGGGGTTGGGCTAAGATTTGAGTTCGTTCCATCATTTTCTAAGTAATGATTGAACTGCATTAGCTATTGATAGAACCTTTTCTCTGTGCTAAATCATCAATTCAACTAATCTTTTAGGGCAACTGATGAATTTCCATATTTAATGGGTAATTTGCGTCTGATAATCGTTTGCTGATGCTATCACCATGGAGACCTGATGCCCTTTTCTTGCATTAATGTTTTTAGTTAAACATTTTATAATCGTCGTGAATGCTTTCCTTTTTAATCATTATGTTGTGCTTTGGTGTTTTCAATTTGAGTTGTTTCAGATTTCTCATTCAGTATATGAAACAAGTCCCTGTAAATTGAATGCTTCCAAAATTTTCGCCAGATATGCTGGAACTTGAATTGTGCATTGAGCCATTATGAAAGAGCTCACCCTTTTGAAAGAGGTAGAAATAAAAACTTAAAGCAACTAGACAGTAATAATATACAGATGGAGATTAAGGCATGATCAAGGAATAGAACCTATACTCAAAAAGCATCACTGTTCCTCTAGCTTAAGGGAAAAAAAAAGAAAAGAATGTTAGTCTCTATACATTCACACCACCATAAAGTCAAGTTTTAAAGCTGTTGTTAGATGCACACCACATGGTCTGACTCATACATTCACAAATTACTTGATACTACTGTTATCTCTTGATTGCAAATTAAGCTTGCATATTTGTTGTATGCCACAATATTGATATCCTGATATGGTGTCTTGTAACCCATTTCCAGAGGAAGACACATTTCTTTCATCTCATTGAGTTATTTGGTAAATCCTGCATCTGGAATAATCCATGTATTTAGACATATATTCAGGTTTATAACAAGACTCATCCAACAATGGATCTAAACTCCTGGTGTATGCTTTTTCATCGTAACACATTGGCTGCAACTTTGTTCAGAATTTTAGCACAGAGAGGACAGTCAATTGTTAAGGTTGATTACCTGTTTTCTGCTAAAGTTCTAACTCTCCATTTTCATTAAAGAAAATCTCAGGATAGACAGTGTTGTTGTGCTAACAATGAGAGCCCTTTGCAACTTGATGGTCGAAAACTCAACTTGGACTAAAAACATTGAACTCATAGGTGGATGAGTTTGTTGGGAATAATAATTTAAATCTCATAAGAGATTTGTTTGAAATTTATCAGATATTACTTGATGGACGAAAAAATTTGCAAAAGAATAATTCTAAGAAAAAGAAGATTTTTAATAAGTAAGTTTAATTTTCAAGAGAATAATTTTAAAAGGAAATGAATTTTTAATAGTCAAGTTTGACTTATAATAGAAAAATTTTAAAAGAAGAGAGATTATTAATGGATAAGTTTGATTTATAAGAAAAAAATTTTAAGAAGAGAAATTTTTAATTGGTAAGTTTGTATGATTATAAATATATGAAATTTTTACAGGATTAGGTATTAGAAAAAGATGTAAGAGAGTTGTACAATTTTGTGAGATAGACACTTCATAAGAGTATTGGAGTTTTATGTTTTATGGGTGTGTATGTTTGTTTGTGAGTGGATTAAAGGAGACTGAAATGGTCCACATAAGTATGATGTATGGGAGCATATGGGTATGTGTTTGGTTATGTTAAAATGATGCACAAGAGTTTGGGTTTAAGTTTGTATTTGTTTGAGTTGAGAATACTTCATAGGATTAGAGGAGATTGGAAATGTCTTAAAAAGTATTGATTGTTGAATGAGGTTGATGATTTGATGTATGTTTGTAATTTTTGCAACTAGTGAATCTTATTTTTCATTCGTAAACGTAGGTTAATTGGATCGAATCACGTTAAATTATTATCTCTTATTTGTTTGATTTATTGTTTGATTTCGCTTCCGTTGATGTTATTGAATTGGAAGCTTTTAGTTTAACAAATGATATTAGAGCTATGGTGTTCCCTAATATGTGGTATCAGAGTTGAAGGTTTAAAATGTGAGAAGAGTTGAAGATTCAAGATGTAAAAAGAGTCGAAGATTCAAGATGTAAAAAAAGTTGAAGATTCGAGAGGTAGAAAAGTTGAAAGATTTAAAATGTAGGAAGTATATGGTTTGAGACATGAGAATAAGCAAGTCCAGAAGAGCTCAATTCAAGAGAAGAGTTCGAGTTTAAGTTTTGAAGATTAAGGATTTGTTTGTATGAAGCGTGAAGATACAAGAGAAGAGAAGATGATTGTGAAACTTTTATTGCATGTGAAGTCAAGCATGTTTAGCATGAAGACAGATGATTGATGAAATTTGAGTTAAAGTGAAGAGTGTTAGGAATAATGACTCAAATCTCATAAGAGATTTGTTTGAGATTTATTAGAGATTGATTTGAGATTTGTCAGATATTACTTAATGGACAAAAAAACTTGTAAAAGAAGAATTTTAAGAGAAAGATGATTTTTAATAGGTAAGTTTGACTTGCAAGAGAATAATTCTAAAAGAAAATGGATTCTTAATAGGCAAGTTTAACTTATAAGAGAAAAATTTTAAGAGGAGAAAGATTTTTAATAGGCAAGTTTATATGGTTATAAATATGTAAAATCTCTATAGGGTTAGGTATGAGAAAAAGATATAAGAGAGTTGTAGGATTTTGTAGGATAAACACTTCATAGGAGTATTGGGATTCTACGTCTTATGGATGTGTATGTTTGTTTGTGAATGGACTAAAGCTTTATGTCTTATAGGTGTATATGTTTGTTTGTGAGTGGATTAGAGGAGATTGAGAGGGTCCACATAGGTATGATGTATGAAAGTATATGGAAGTATATGGGTATGTGTTTGGTTATATTGAAAGCAATGCATAAGGGTTTGAGTTTGTGCTTGTTTGGGTTGAAAATACTTCATAGCACTAGAAGAGATTGAGAGTGTCTTATGAGTATTGATTGTTGAGTGAGGTTGATGATTTGATGTATGTTTGTAATTCTTTACAACTAGTGGATCTTGTTTCTCATCCGTGGATGTAGGTTAATTGGATCGAATAACGTTAAATTATTGTTTCTTTTGTGTTTGATTTATTGTTTGATTTTGTTTCTGTTGGTGTGATTGATTGGAGGTTTTTAGTCTAACAAAGTTAAGAGCTTTATTTCTGCTCGATTACAACAAATATGTTTTATGCCTTTTTTAGATTTTACAATCACACCTATCAAGGGAGGGAAGAATAAACATCATAAGCAATTGAATAGTGTGTAACTTTATAAATAATCAGTTGATATTGTGCCTGATGTTGGGTTTCCAGAAACCTAACTTTTACAGGAACTTGTGCTTGCCATGCTGGATATCTCTTCTTCTCCTCATCTTTAGGGATCTCTCCAACATATCTATCAGAATTAATTTCATACTTGTGGGTCGGGGGAAAGTCTATTACCCTTTTTTTTCGT